GGCCAAATAATTGCTCACCCCTATTGCAGATGTTAAGCTGACTTCTAGGTTGTTTTATTATTATTAAAAAAATCTAAGTGGCCTGGAAAACCTAAAAATGTTAAAATATTCAGTGAACAAGTAACTTTCTATGTTGAGGCATATAACCGCCACTGGGGTCCTAGGTCTCTGATCCTGAACAGAGCACTTCCACCCTTAATGTTTGCACTATCTTAAGCTAGTTCATAGTTCAAAGCGTTTCCAGCTCACCTTTTTGGACTGCTTTAGCATGAAGTGCTCTTCTGCCACAGTAGGCACTTGGGCTGACACACCGCGATGCTGCGAGTCAATGCTTCCGTGATTATTACACAGTTCGGCGGCTGAGTTGTGAAACGCTGTCAGGGAAAGACGCTTGTGCGTCCTAGTCCCTCTGCAGATGAGTGATGGAACTACCATTCCTGAAGCACGTTGGAGGGTTTTGCTTCAACAACTAGTGCAGCTTGAGCACTGCAGCAAAACCTCTCCGTGACTTCCCTCACCCGGTGCCTGTGCCATAGTATGTGTGCACTGTACTTGCTTCCACCGGCTCGGGCAGCTCTCAAGGCTGACGGGGGAAGGTGGAGTTGGCTCTCAAAACAGTGAGCATTGCCTAAAATAACTGGCAGCTCAAGCAGCTGAGCTGAGAGCCTCAATCCCTAATGGCTGCACACTGGTTTTGTGCCCAGCCAAATCAATAGCTAGGGGTATTAGTGGTCTCTGATGCCTTCCCCCTGTACCCTTCTCTTTCCCAGATGCTCCTGTGACCAGCACTGTTCCAAATGGCAGGCCTAGCAGTTTAGAAAAGGATCTTGACCTCTTTGCCTCTGTGGGATCAAACTCTGTCTCTGACTCCAGAAAGGTAAGGGGGTGGAGGAGGGGGTGGGATGTGACGGTCCTCAAACACAGCTAGATTCCTAGCAGGGCTGTATGTTGGGATCAACCTACTGCACTCTCCTTTTCACCCCCAGGTCGTTGGTTCCATGCCATCAGCGGGAAGTGCTGGGTCTGTTCCTGAAAACTTGAATTTGTTTCCTGAGCCAGGGAGCAAAGTGGAGGAGATAGGAAAGAAACAGCTCTCCAAGGACTCTATCCTTTCTCTCTATGGTTCCCAGGCACCTCAGATGCCCGCTCAAGGTACTGTACATCCTAAGGGGAGGAAGGAGAGGAAAGGTTGTGCCGGCTGGGGTGTTTCGAGCAATGCACCGTAACCGAACAAACTGCTCTGAAATGTGTGTAGTGTCACACCTTGGATTCTTGTGGTCCCTTTTACAATGGATGTGGGCACCTCCTTGACTCAAGTATCAAATGTGCTGCTCATGGGATGGGCCTTCTAAAGGGGCCTGATACAATGCTGGGTGAGTTTTTGGCCTTCTGCTCCCTACTACTGAGACAAAGCACAAGAAAACGGGAGTACCATCAAGTGGGAGGGCACGTGGTGGACAGCGTCAGGTTCTTCCTTGCCACTCACATCCCTGTCCTCTTTGCAGGTGCAATGTTCATGGCCCCTGCTCAGGTGACGTACCCTGCAGCCGCGTACAGTGGTTTTCCAGGCGTCACTCCACCCAGCAACATGATGGGAGGCATGATGGCACCGCCCGTAGGAATGATGCCACAGCCTGGCGCTGCAGGGATGGTGACTCCTATGGCCATACCAGCTGGATATGTAGGTAGCATGCAGGCAGCCGTCATCGGTGTTCCCAACGGCATGATGGCCACGCAGCAAGCTGGGTACGTAGCGGGCATGGCAGCAGTACCGCAGCCAGTGTATGGCGTGCAACCAGCACAGCAGCTGCAGTGGAACCTAGCTCAGGTGAGAGGGTTGTCATCATCTCATGATCTGGGGGCTTAAACATTTCTGTCACCAAAGGGTCTTTCTAAGCATATTGCACATAATCTAATTCTGCCAGTGGCATGGAAAGAGGATGTTCCTGCTTGGAGATGGGCAGCTTCTCTGGAGTGTGAGTAAGATGCTGACAGCCTGGAATAAACGTGGGTGTCCTGGCACTTAGTCTAGTGACTGGACCAGGCCGTTTCTGCTCAGATTTCTCTGGTAGGATGTGAAACGGTTGGCTTTTTCAGCAGGTAACAGCTCTTTTGCTGCCTGGAGCAAATGTACAGGCAACATTGGAATAGAAATATGCATGTTTTTCTAATCTCTAGGAAAGTTTATCTACATGGGACTTACTTTCGTGGAGCCCAGTTATGGATGAGAACGTGTAGTGATTTGATTGTGGCCTAACTGCCGTAATGGGGGAGATGACATACAATCTGTACCTCTGTGGCAGGGATGGACTAGATCAGCCTAACCTATTTATGTGGGGGGGTTACCCAAACAGCCTGGTAAGCAAGGCCAAAATAGCAGGGGACGTTACTTGAGCAGACTGGGTCGCTGCTGTAGATAAGCCAGCTCAACTAGCCCATGCTGATGCTCTTAGCTGATGCCTATTTCCAGGCTTATCAGTTTGCCAGAGATTGTAAAATGAACACCTGCAGAAGCAACGTACGTGGCTGATTCTTCCCCTGTTTAAAGTCTGTTGCTGCATTGCATCTGTCACTTGGAATAGGCTCAGAAAGGGGTGACACTCCCGTATTGGTATAATTAGACTGGGACTTGGTCTGGGTGTAGCAGTTCACTGAGCCTGTGTAATTGGATTGAAAGTAACTCAGTCTAGCCTCCCTGGACACCTAGGAAATGAGATTGTACTGCCTTGATTTTAGCCTCGCTTTGTAGCAAAAACTCCATTAAATCGAGCGCTCGCAGCTAATTTTCCTGCAGATGGGGGCTAGATTCCTTCATTGTCCTTGGGTTGCACTGCTTTCCCCACTTGCCTCTGGAAGGCACATGCCTGGTAAAGCACTTTGGCATCTACTTGATGTGAACATGTACTCTAGTACTTTTATTGCATAGCAGGTTGTGCCCCACTGATGCAGTTTGCTCGGCTGTTCCACTGCAGCTCTTAGCAGTCGCATCCGTGCAGCTGATGAGAGAAGCGGCGCCCTTTGCTGTCACTGCCCACAACCAAGCATGTCTCCACAGTCCTGTGCAGCTGTTAGCTGCAGCTGTGTGTGACCCCCTGCCCCCGCCCTGAGCCATTTTGCAAACCCTTATTTCTGCGAGGGTGGGAGGGAAGCTAGGAACCTGACCTGTGAAAAACCCAGGTTCTGCTGTACCGCTAGTCAGCGGCATTAAGCACATGCTTGAAGTCCAAGCACGTACCAAAGTACTGTTCTAGGCAGGAAGCCTGAACTTGTGTCTGGTTGGTATTGGAATGGCTTCCCTGACTGACCTGGCCTTGATTTGTCTCCTCTCCTCCTCCTCAGATGACCCAGCAGATGGCTGGGATGAACTTTTATGGCGCTAATGGCATGATGGGATATGGACAGTCAATGGGCGGAGGAAGTGCCCAGGGAAGCAATCAAACCCTCAGCACTCAGATGTGGAAATAACCCCCCCTGCGTTCTGACCACTTCTCTGCCTTCGTTCTTGTTTTTTTTTTTTTAACTGCTCCATGAGACATTCAGGGTTTTGGGGGTTTTTTTTCCCTTTCTGATGCTCTGCTCAGCCTGAGCCTCTCTTTCCATAACTGAGACCCATCTCTGCCTTGTTTGCTGTCAATGCTACAGCGAAACAACAGTGGCCAGAACACCACTTGCAGCTCCCCTGCACTCTGCACAGTCAATGCACGCTCGGAGGAGCCATCTCTTCCCCCTTGAGCACAGGCACACGGCTTCACTAATGCTTCTGGGATCGTCTCTGCATTCAGAGAAAAGGACGTCCTGGAGAAATTGTGACTGAAATAGTGGATTAAGTATTTAGTACTGTCTGCACTTACAGGCCTTTTTAGAAATCACTTAAGCAGTGGTACTAGGTGGGGCAGGGGGCGGGTGGCTAATGAGGGAAAGCCTTTATTTGGTGCTGAGGAACGGGATTTTAATACAACCCAAACCCTGAGGGGCAAGAGAGTCTTGCCACCTGTGTTTTTTTTTCTTTTCTTCTTTGCTGTGGAGTTGTCTGGAGCTGAGGCCTTGCTGGGCTTGGCTGGTCAACCGTCATTGGAACCAAAGTCATTTCGAAGGCCCCTGCTGTGAGCTAGCGGGATCTCCCACGGCGCGGGGCACAAACCGTTGGGAATGTGAAACTTGCACTTCTTCAGAGTGGCTTTTTTTTTTTTTCCCCCCTGTCTAATGTGGTGTTGATGTATTTAAAATGAGCAAGCAAACTTTTAATGAACTAACCAAGAGAATTTAATTTATCGAGGGCCAAGAGCTTGTCGTAAAGCTTTTTCTTACACTTTAAAAAGTGATTCTGACATCCTAATTTATACTTTTTTTCATATCGCTTTTTTTTTTTTGTTTGTTTCGTTTTGTTCCTATGTAATCCCAGTTCCTGGCTATCTCTTGACCTTCTGGTCTCTAAGTATAGAAAAGTGGGTGCGTCAGACTCTTTCTTTTCTTTCCATCCCATCCACATCCCTAGAAAACATTCGCTTGAAAGACTTCATCAGTGTGAAATAAAAAAAAAAAGTGAGACGCTCTCGGTTTACTTTATCCTGTGTATATGTAAATTCCTTAATAAAATATTGCAGTGAAACATCAGCTGACTTCATAACCTTGTTTTGCTTTCCACCTATTTCATTCCAGGTCTGAGATGCAGGTGAGACGGCGAGTTAATCGTCTAGGCGCACGGTTTGGATTCGTAGTTGATTAGTTCAATCTCCTTTTTATTCCTCGGTGGGGATATAACCAGATTGTACACTGTAATCTAGTCCGGAAATTTATCTGAAGGCCCTGTGCTATATCTTTGTCTAGCTGTGTAACATATGTTAACCAGAGCTGTCAGTTAATTCACACAGGGTTTGCCCTTTTAGTTGAGAGAATAATTATTCTAACTATAAGAGTGTTCTGATTTATTTTGGGGGATTTTTTTTTTTGAATAGCAAATCAAGCAGGACTTGGAAACCTGGTCAACACAGTGGACCTGCTCAAACTGCAGCAAGTTACAAAGCTCTAGCTCCGTTCCCCTGATCGGTGTTTTGATCCAGAACTGAATTCAAACAGTTTTTATGATAATGCAGTGGCAGAATGGATAGTCCAGCATGTAAAACTCAAACTCTCTACTCCATTTGTTAATAGGGCACTAAACATCTAACTGGTGTATATATAGGCTCTGGAAAAGTACCCTCCTAAACTTCTGCAGAGGACAGGTACTGCAGGATTGGGGACGGGCATTGTCCTGACTCTTACTATGGAGAACTTTATTTTTGTTTTTTCCACTGCCAGTGTGTTGAGTTTGAAAGCATCTACTGCTATAACAAAGCTGGCATAGTGGACAAGAGAGGAGTGATCTAATATAAGTCAAATCCTGCTCTCACAGTACTACCTCATTAAGGAGGGTGCCCCTTTGGCTCTTATTGGAAAACTATTTTAAATGGTTACCTTCTGCTAAATCCTGCGTCCCTACCAAGCACTGGGTGATGAAGGCATGTACCTTGGTAAGAATAGCTTTTTCCGTGTAACTGCCTAACAACAGTTTCAGTCCTTGTAGCTCAGGTTAACCGATGACTGCATCGCAGTCTTCCCATGCTCTAATCAACTTGATGCATGCCTATGACCTTGGCCATTCCTCTGGCGGTGCACTCTGCTCCTTTCTTCCCCGTCCACCCCCAAGCCCCTGCCTTCTCAATCATGCAAAGCCCTTCCCTTGATGTGCAGGGTCAGAGGTGGAATGTCTTGCATACAAAATATTCTGCAATCCAAACACAGGAGAAGCAAGCAGTTTTCAAACTGGCTTTTAATCATCTTTACTTGCTGCCCGAATACTGTACATGCAGGTAGAAGCCAATGAAGAATGTGAACATCTCGCTCTTTGTTTTTTGTTTAGTTTCTCCTTGGAAAATTGGCTAAGAATATCTTACAAAATAGCGTGCACCCTCCCAAGTCATCAAGTCTTGCTGCATATAAACCACAAATATACAAGGAGTTTTACATTAGGAAAGACCACGCACATATATAAAACATTACATAGCACAGGTAGAAAATTGCCATTTGCTTTTGAAATCTACTACCTTTCTCGAGTACCCATCACAAGCCCATCCCCGTGTCTCCAACCATGGAATGGGAATGAGAATAATTCACCCCTTCTGTGATGATTTTTTTTTCCCTTATCTAATGTCAAGTAGTTTGTTTCTGAATCTGTCACTAAGCCAAGAAGCTTATTTCAAAACTGAAAACGAGGGACATAAGAGCTCCATCGATAAAAGCAGCCAGACCTGATCTGTACTAGCTAAGCTGCTTTCTTCCCTGCGGCATAAATACTCATCCCAACCCTGAAGTGCCCAGGTGCTGTTACAGATGTTAACTGCTCTCCTTTTGACTTTCAAATGGAAAAGTTTATAAAGCTTGCTAAAGACAGTAAGCACCTCTGGTTTTTGCCACTGAGTTGGGTAGAACTAAAACATCTCTACTATTTAAATTTTGTACTCACAGGAATTTGAGGCATTTCTGTTGCTTGGGGTCCAATGTCCCTCTTTACTACTGTTCTGAATTGAGGGAAGGTACTGGGTTTTGGCTAGCTTAATTAGTTTGGAGCAAGGTCCATACGATATGTTGCAACAGGATCACCTTCAATTCAAACAGAGCTTGAAGGCTGTAGCGATCCAGTTAGCTTAAAAATACCTGTCTTGCTTTTGGCTTCCCAAAAGGAAACTTAGCTCTAGGAACTGAGCCGCTTTTGGTCATTCATGCCTGGCTGGGAGCATTAGGCTTCCAGCAGATCTTCAGGAACTGCCCAAACACTTGCTGAACATTGGACCCAAAGATGTCCTTCCTGCTCAGGTGTGCTAATAGCTCCTTAAATCATCTCGTTTCCCTTTTAAATTAGGAGTCTGGCCAAGGTTGAAAAGGATGATCTACCCTTACTTAAGCACAGAGTGAGGGTAGGACTTCTCAAAAACCCTGCAGTTCACGGGAAGCAAGAGTCTTGCCTTTTGCTGACACTTGTGCTCTTGGTTATTTACAGGTAGATGCTTTGAGAAAATCCCATCCTTGGTTTCTTCTTTACCCTTTTTCTGCCTTAAGTAAGTTTGTATAGCTGAGCTATAAGCTCCTGAAAATAATGACAGATTCTTGGGTGTCGGGCACTGCTAGAGCGGCCCGCGTACTTGTTAGTATTACGCTGTTTTGAGGTGGGGAGTAGGACGGCATGATGGGGGGAGATTTTATTTAGCTTTTTAACTGCATGAAAAGATCAAGCCCTTTTAAGAAAACAAGGCCACCAACTTCAAAGTGCTAACGTTCGAGAGGCATTCGGTGCCAGAATACCTGGCCGGTTGGTTACAGAAGAGGGTAGTGCAGCTACCTCCAGAGAAAAATAAAAAAAAAGATGCCATTTCCAGCATCAAAACATTGCTTCAAGATCCTTGCTATAAATGTTAGGACACAATCCTCCTTTCTAGCAAGTGCTGGGACGTCTTGTCCGTATCCAGTACGTGGACAATTGTCCCTTGAGGAACAGACGGGTCATCTGTGACTCCCTTTTCAAATTGAAGTAAAACCCCTCTGCTTCCTTCCACCTGCACTCAATGCAAATACTGTAGGGAGGGAGCAGGGTCCCCAAGCTCCCCCTTTAGTATAGCTGCTTAAAAGCCCTCAGATCTCACATCTGAGCCATGTTGACTTCATTGCTGGCCCTTAAAAATAAAAAAAGGAAGAAACTTTGCTGGATGAGGGAAAGGTCTAACATCCCCGTGTGCCAAAATAAGGGTAAGAGAAAAGGTGCTAGACCTTTTAGAGAAGAGGTGGAAGAATGGAAACCTCGAGGCCAATTTTGGCGGTGATGGTGTGTTGTCAAGCTGAATTATCCCACGCTCAAGAGAGCCTCGGCACTTCTTGTATCCCTTACCCTTTAGCTTGGCAGTCGTTACCCAGTGTGACAAAGCAGGAGCAGACCCAGAAGCACAGGCTTTGGAGCAGATGCCCCAACACACCTGCCCTTCATCACGGACATCTAAAATAAAAAACGAAACAGTACAGCACGCTGAACTAGTTATAAAAATGTGAGGTATACTAATGATGCGAGTGCCGGAAGGGCCGAGTACTTGCGCTGCTCGGTGCATCTCAGTGGCGATAGTGTTGTCCTGGGTCCAACGTCCAGGGAAACGCACTAGACACATGACTGGGGTGGAGAGGATTGGTTTGGTAAATGGTATGATGGTTGCCCATATAAACAGTGAGACGAATGGTCGGCCCCTTTACTGAACTTGCTTTCCGTTCTCAGGTCCCATCTCCAGAGTCTGTTTATTCCACAATGTACCGTCGCCACTTAATGTGACTGGCCGAGCAGATGGCTCTCCTCTGGACGTTGTTTGAGTAATAGGATTTCTGCTTTGTCCTATACAGGATGCCAATATTGATATTCCCCCCGCTCCCCTCCACTCTGGTTGCTAGCAGCCGCGTGCATGTCCAGGTTAGGTTCAAAGCAGGTATTTTCCTGGTACTAGGAAGCTTCCCTGCAGGCTGCCACAAGTGTAGCATACAACAGTCTTCAGTACTTGAACCTCCAGCCAGCTCCTTGGGTCCTAGCATGTCTTTGCATCCCCCACTAGCACAAGACAGAAGAAGACCTCAATCTGAAACAGCCTCATTGAGAGCCTTTTAGGACCGGCACAACTGGCAGCATCCCCTACCGCGCCGTGTCACAAGTTGCTAACCGTTCCTGGAAGGAGAGGAGTGATTTTTTTTTTCGGCATGTATGTCTCTAGACGCTAAGCGCTCGCAGGAACTAGAGAAACGTGGCAACGTATTTCTGCCGTGGGTGATGGAAACGATAGCGGCCGTGCTTGGGATTCAACCGCTAAGAAGCACGGTGGCTAAAAGCATGTAAAAGACTGGCATTTTTCAGTATGGGAATGCATCAAAAGGAGCGCCTGGATGTGTTTCACAAGCCACCTGCGTGGGCAGCTGCTTTGGATTTGTGTTTGAATCAACTGGAGATCATTGGAAAGGGGATTATTTGCCTGAATCAAAAACAGACCAGTGCAGTTTCTACAGATGGTCTTCCGCCATAAAGGCCCTTAGATGATAAGCTGATGCTATGTATTCCAGCAGTCACCGACACAATCGAGACTGTTTCAAGGCATTGGAAATACCTTCTCACGTGTGCATGCAAGGCTGGAAACAGTCTTTCAAGAAGCTGAGCAGATCAGATCTCCTATCAGCGAAAGCAATCCTGACCCAATTCCTTTGGCTAATAGTTTCCGTCTCGTCTCCGAAAAACCGATGCGTTTCGTATACAGACGAGCTGTTGTGAGTGCCATGTTCAGCACTGATAGCAGAGCTGGGGATGTGGTTGGGGGTGGAGTACTTGTTATAATCTCAGTTGCGCGTGGTATTTCCTGGTCCAGCTTCGTGGATTCTGAAATCTGTTGGCAAAAACCGGGATGGCTCGATGCCTCCTTGGATTGTTTTGCAAGACCGAGTCTCAGCTCCCACCACATTCATTCGTGCCTTAGCAAAGCTGACAGCATTGTAATATGTTGTCTGGTGAGGGCCCACCCTTTGCTCTTGCTGAATGCATTGGGGATGCCGGACAGCAAGTAGCTGCTAGACGGCTCCATATACTAGCAATAGGGCCTTAAACACTGATCTGCTTTAAAGCATCTTCACAGCATCGCCTAAAAGGAATGGCATTAAACAGTACCAGTCGTGGATTCAAGTCACGTTCTCTTTCTTGCTAATGGTTCGTGTAATCCTGCCCTTCCTTTCATTAAGGGTCTGTTAAACTTGTACAGCAAAACACAAAGCTTCCCCAACAGGCCCTGGCTTTACGGTTGCTCGCAACCTTGGAGCAGTCCCCGCTGTTCGTGTGAGCGCTTCCAGCTAGCCAATTTCTAATCGAGCTACCCAAGTCGGCTCCTAGACTGTAGGCAAAGTTTCACTCCAGACCTAATTGTGGCCAGTCAGGCCTATTGCTAGCTTCCGGCAAGCCTAGAGCCGATGCCGAGTTTGCATCAGAGCCACACAGGGTTGCTCTTTATAGTACATGGTTGCAACGGGCTTTTGCTTGTAATTATTTGGGGTGGGGGGTATTAATGCTGGGACTTAAGGGGAAGTCGTTTAGGCAGTTCGTCTTTATAACTATCATAGGGTGCCCGGGGTGAGATCCTGACGTCTCTTATGCCAGCGCCGCTCCGCTGACCTCAGCTGTGTTGCTTCTGCCCACGAAATCCGCATTATTCCATAACGCCGTGCTGTGCATGTCTTGCTGGCTTCCTGGGGGCTGGCTACAGAAGCAAAAAGAGACTGCAGACAGGTTCAGCTTAAGACAAGCCAGAGCCACTGGTGAGTTTTGCAACCTAGACAGATGTGGAGTCAGTCTTACCTGCCTTAGGGGCTCAAAACACCCTAGCCCTGATTGTTGCTGCTGTGGCCTGATCTCCTTGTACCCTGGCCAGCCACAGTACAGGCTCTCTGGGGGTTGCCAATCTTGGTGCCCCTCTTAAGTCCACCTGCCCCCCTAGTTATGCTGCTGACACAAGCAATCCCCTGGGAAAGGGGTCGGTATCCTGTCTTGATGGAAGAAATGATTGTGGGGTGGAGAGAAATACCTAGCGGTAAGTAATGTTCAGTCAGATCATCTGTCCTTTGCCAATCACATAACGCATAAGAAACGCCCTTTGCAGCAGACCGGTCCCTCGAGCCCCTCGGACAAAACCTTCCTGTCCGTTAGGTTGTGTTTTCTGTTTTATCACGTGCAGAAAAGCTGGGTCGAGCCTTTTGTCTGAGTGAGGAACGTGTCTGACCCTTGGTGTCATGGCAGAGGAAATAAAAGTTGCTGACGTCACAATGCAAACACGATACACTTCAGTCTTTCTTTCTTTTTGTGTTTTTGCAACCTCCGCCCCCCTCAAAAAATCCCGGGAGCCTCTGTCCAGAAGCCCCTGAAGGTGAATGCAGATCTGACGGGCCCAACATGCGGTGCTGAGAGTGAAGCATCGAAAGGTTTGAAGGGGTTTCAGTCTGTCTAGAGGATGGTGTCGGTCATCTAAAGTCCTTGGCCGGGTGGTTTTGTCTTGCCAGGACGTCTTGGTCAGCAGAAGGAATCGTCCCCGTGCTTTGCTTTCTGGCTGTATAGACTCGGTCTGTACTGGAAAGGAAACTGGAGTGGTATTTGTTCTGATCAGAGCGAATTGCTTTCCCTCCAAAGCACAGTCTTTATTCATTAGAAAATAATAAAGCCACAGCGCTCGGAATTGTCCCTGGAGGTCCCAGGCACGTCCCTCGGAGCAAAGCGTTTTTGTTGTCTCGGTGCTGGATTTTCTGCTGTCAATGTGAATGGGCGTTTCCAGCTGCTGCTTAGCAGACCTCTTTGGAGACCAGAGGCGTTCCTTTGTACGCTGTTGTCTCCTCGTTCTTGGTGGGCTACAGCTGTCCTGGAAGAAGTGGAGGAAGAAGGCTTGACCACTTCAGCTCAAGCAAAGTGCTGTACCGGGGGGGGGGGAAATGTCCCGTGGAGTTGGAGGTGTCGCATCCCTTACATTGGTGATGAAGAGGATGGGGCTCTTTGTAAGGCTGTTGATGCTCACGGGAGCTAGGGAGAGCCAGCGAGATCTGCTCTAGCCAGTCTAAGCCAGCAACCAAAACTGCCTCTAAACTTTCATGTCAGCTTTTTCTCCGCTGAAATCAGACCTAGTCATTGCTCTAGCAAAAAAAAGGCAGGCGTTTTCTATCACTCAAATGATGTTAGCCTGAAGGAAGTAGGTAATTCCCTTAAGTTTCCCTCTTCAGACACCTTCCTTCGCGTGTGTGCAAAAATCCAGCGCTCCGGAGCAACAAAAAAAAGAAACGAGTCCAGCCAGCCCATGTGGACCTTGAGTAACAGCTTCATGCCCTGGAAAAAGCTTCAAATTTATGTCTTCACATTCTTCTAGTTCCAATGACTTGGGCACAGAATAGGCTCCCTCAAAGGCTCTGCTTGAGGTTAACCATGCTGCGGTCCAGCAAGTGGCCTTTAGGTGTGAACTCGAGGATCGGCGCATACTGCTTGTGCCGTCACCCCATCCAGCATAGCAGACAAGCTGGGATACCTCAGGAGATGGGGACCGGGGAGCATTCAAAGTCATTTCTGGCCGTGGCTAGCCCCCTGCTCACAGCTCCATTTGGTATGGTAAAGTTGAAATCCAAAGTCCAGCAGAGCGGCTGAAATCCCTTGGCGCAGCATTGGAGAAATCGTGGGGGGGGGTGGCGGTACACGAGACAACCGCCGGGCAGCAGGAAGTTGCCAGCTAGCCATTTCCATTTTGTAGAGAGGACGGTTTCATAGTGGACTTCTTTCCTTTTAGGTTCATTGGTGTTTCTCTGTGGCAACAGGTTCTGGTTACTTCATCTTGGCTAATAATGCAAGAGGAACCGTAGGTTGTGTCTTGTGCTCTGTGCATTGCAAACTGCTCTTCTTGCCTAAAAATAAATGAGCGAGTAACCCCAACTTTCATCTTAGCGGATTTGTCTCAAAGCCTGAAGGTCGGAGCTATCTCTTGTCCCCCTTCCAGTCTGATGACTGATCCGTCTCTGGTTTTTGGAAACTGATCCTTCAGGACAGTCCTTTTATAAGTATTTTTTTTTTTTTTTTTTAATGAAGAAACTGCAGTTTGTAGTGGTGTCTCCCCTGAGTATTTTCAGCAAATTTCATTAGGCACCTTCATAAAAAGCTTCCGTAATTCTCAGTTTTGCTACAAGAACTGGTCCACTTCGGGAACCAGAGTGCTGCTTAAAAAAATAAAAAGGAAGTAAAACAACTCATCGTTGTAATAAATTGAAAGCATTTAGATTTTAGTTTGTTCTTTTTTCTTTGTAACCTATCCGTCATCCTAATTCCAGAACAGCAAGGGATGCTACTGAGATCTTGCCCCGTCGTGTACCGATGAGTCGAGGGTTGGAAAAAGGTGCATTCTGCCCTTCTTTCTGGTAAGCCCCCTGCTTGCTACTTGCCATTCGAGCAACTGAGAGTGGAAATGTTCAGACTTCAAGCTGGCCCTCGTGCAGCTGTCGACGCACAAGCAAGAGATTGATAAGGAGCTCAGTTCCTCCGTGGCTGCAATTTTCCCTTTTCCATCACCTTCTCCCTGTTTCAATTGCTGTGCGAGGCATCACAACGTCGACACTTCGAGAGGGGAAGGGGAGAGCCTGGCCGCTCGTTTTAAAAGGTGACACGCAAGCGAGAACCATCACGGATGTAGGTTAAATGCACCTTGTTCTTCCCTCTCCTCTTTTGGCAGTTGCTTATCGTAGGCTACATGCTACCAAAAAAAGAAGCGTTCAACAGAATTGCTTGCACAATGTTTCGCGATCCGTGCCAGGAAACTAAGAAAACAGGAAGCAATGATGGATGTTTCCTGCGGGGTACGTAGAGTGTCCCTTGGAGATATTGCAGAGTGGACAAGTGGGTTAAATTAGCACGTGGCAGGCTACATAAGATCATAAGATGCTACATTCCTTTAAAATAAATGAGTAGTGCTGAGTTAGATCTTTTTTTTTGTCTTTTTCCCCAAAAAAGCTACCTTTTTCCTCAAAGGAAAAATTTTAAATTGAGGGAAAACAAAACCAAGTTAGCATGCTACTTGCAGTCAGGTGGAGTGAACCGGATCAGAGAGGCTTGCGCCAGGTTTCTGGGTGGGAAATCCGTTGCGACGTCGGACTCCCGTTCAAAAACGACTCGATGAGTTGCCGTAACAGTCTTGGGGCTGGTAGTCACAGGACTTGCTCTGCATCACAGGGTTTCTGTTGGTTTTTGTTTTGTTTTTTTCTCTTGATTCTCCTTTTTTTCCCTTCCCGTCCCTGTCCCCTTGCTCCACGTTCCCCCTCCCTGCACGTCGGGATGGCGAGGTCAGTGAGGAACGCGGCAAGAGAGCGTGTTTTTTGGGGGAAGGGGGGAAAAAAAGACAGAATATTTACAGCTGTTCCACAGAAATGTTTTGGTAGGTTGAGTTGCTTTCGTCCCCGTCCCCACCCCAGCCTCTCCCAACAGCCCCGATCCCCACCCCTACGGACAGGAAGGACTCGTGGAGCTTTCTAGAGAGGACTGGGAGAGGCGGCGGGTGAGCGGGCCGATACTGGAGTCTGCCAGCGAGGAGGTGGGGAAGAGTTTGTACCAGCCTGTGACCATGTTGGACAGGTCTAGCTCCTCCAAGACGATCTGCGCCATCCCCATGAAGCACTTGTGGTCCATGCGGCCATAGTCTCCCCACACGATGACCTGAAGGGAAGAACAGGGGTTAGCTGGGTTGACCGGGTCCCGCGCTTATAAGGAAAGCCTGGGAGACCTGGGGTCATTCAGCCTGCGGAGGAGAGGAGGGAACGGGTATTCGGTAGGCGACATCCATTGCAAAAAAAGTTGGTTGCAAAGAGGGCCGAGATCAATTGTAAGGGGCTCAGATTGCAGCAGGGGAGAGTTCGGGTCAGTTATTGAAGAAGAGCTGCCTACCCACGATGGTGGCTGAGCTCTGGAACAGATCGGCTGGGGAAAGTGTGGTGTCACCACCATGCGGTGTTTGCAAGGGCATGCTGAACAACCAGTTGTCTGGGGTGGTTTAGACTGGGATGGTCCTTACGCAGAAGGATGGACTAGACATGACCTTTCCAGTGCCCCTCCGGCCCTGTGTTGCTCTGCGCCTAGGCAGGGCTGCATACCAGAGGAGGAAAGCTGGATAGATCTGGGGATTTTCTTGCCCTTGTTCCTCCCACCCAACCGTTCTTACCTGCGGGAAGGTAGGCAAGCCCTTCCATAAATGTGCCTGTTGCCATTTTTTGTTGGCGGGGAAGGGTGGTCCCAAGACAAAAGGAATGGGTTTCAAGGTTCATGGCCTTGTGCATATATCTAAAATGGAGGGAATGGTCAAAAGTCCTCCCATCCCGGGGTCAATGCCCCTTTTGGCATAGCAATGCCACTCCAAGGCAAAGCCGCCATTCAGACTCATGTTGAGCCAGTGGGACTGGGGCGAGGGGAAGTAACTTGTCTAAGTTCATGGAGGGGCAGAGCTGCGGATGGACCCCAGGAGTCCCAAACTGCCAGACACTGTTCTGCCTCGTCCCTGTGAAGGAGTCCCAGGTTCTGCAGTGAGGCCCGCCTCGATGATGTCCCACCTCCCCTTGCCGTAACGCTACTTCACCTGCAGCACTTTGCCCTGAGGGCCCTCGTCAAAGAGCAGGGCCTGCTGATACAATGGGTCACAGGTCTTCTTGGCTGTCTTGGTCTTCTTTTTGGCCAAGCAGGCTCCGTTCTCCAACAGATAGACTTTAACATAGGTCGCTGCATCGGCAAAAATAGAAAACAATGAAGAGAGAGATGGACAACAAGCTCTCGCCATCATCGATGGCAACCGTTGGTTTTGGCCCTCTTTTGCAGTGGGGAAACTGAGGCACACTGCAGCACATGCCCTGCACTATAGTGGGAAGAGTGGGTGATTTGGGAATGGGGCATTTGAAGGTAGGTCCCCTGGCTGGTCAGAGGTAAGGTCATGCCCTACTTTGTTGTAGAGCTGTTGTGCTAGGACTGAGACATAGACACCTACCAGGGATGGACTTGGAGCCCATCTTCGGCATGAGACCCCTGGCCTGTATCACTTCCACCTCCAGCTGCCCATTCCTGTCGGTCATCCCAATGTGGACATCACCTAGAGCAGACAGGAGAGACATGAGACTCAACAGCCTTATCAAGTGCCATCATGTGTGAAGGATGCATCACACTCAGCTGAAGCCATGGATCTTCACTGTATGCCCATGTGTCCAAACATGCTCCAGCAAACAACCCATCATTGCCCTTGGGTTCAATAGCCATGCCCTCTTTGTCTGCTGGTCTGGGGCTTCCTCCACCATCCTGCAGCTGCTCTAAAGCCTCGGGTGTGCTGCAGAGCCAAGTCCTTCATGCCCAGGGTCTTGGAGCAGCTCGGGTGCTGGAGCTTGGCTGGAGCATGGAGCTGCTGGAAGATGGGCTTCCATCTTGAACAGCTTAGAAATAACTGAAGAGCTGTCGGACCCCTTTCTGGAGAAAGTTGGGATGGGAGCATGTCTCAGAGAGCCTAGGCACCTTACCAGAGCAGGGCAAAGTGGGAGAGCATTCAGAGGAGGGCAACACCTGCTGGGCAGCCATCCAGGGGCCAAGCTGAGCATGCTAACACAGGATGTCTGAAACATCCAGGGTCTTGTGTCTGTCCATGCACATCCACGTCTCTCCGTCCATTGCAAAACACACCTTCCCCCCCCAACCTGAAACAACCGCTTGGGAGATTGCCGCCTGTTGGGGATGGGTGTGCTAGGAAGACAATTCAGCAAGAACTGGAAAGCATTTGCAGGCACCTAAGAGCTGAGGACACGGTGCTGGAGTCGGGGGTGAGGGAGACCGCAGGGGTCGTCGGCCTCTTTCTAACTGCAGTGTGTTGTGGGTCCAACTCTGGATGAGTCCCCAACAATTAGTTTGCTACAAGTCTGGGGTGGAAACTTGTCCTGCCTCAGCTGCAGCTCGTTTTCGGGGGGGGCTGCTAGAGAATCCTAGAGAGGGTCCATGTCTCCATCCAGGCTTCAAGATCCCTGAAGGCTCTTTGGCATCAGACAGACTCCTTCCACCACCCCTGACTTGCACCTACCAAGGCCAAATCCTCCCTCTGGTCTTACATCTCCTGCCCTCGTCTAAACCTCTGATAGAAGGCAGGGCAAGTTGGCACCTTAAAGCACTAAAGAAATTCAAGGTGCCGCCCTGCCCTACCATGACTTTGCACCAACACAACTAACTCTTTCTAAAACTCAGAGTCTTTGTGCGGGTCATTTCTATCTTTGGGCAGAGATCCGAGGAAGGGTACGGTGAGACCCAAAAGCTTCTCTCGAGTCTATCCCAACCATGCAGCTGGTGCAAGAAGGGATCACCCACAAAAATCCTTGATTTTTTGGATTTTGTGCCCGTTGCTTTCCTTGGCTGGCAGAGGGCAGCAGAGGCCCATGCGTTCTCCCGCTGCAGCTGCAACAGAGAGCGGCTCAGCAGGGAGAGAGTTTGGTTTGCAGGAGCAAGAGGAAGCAAAGACAAAGTCCTTCCCCGGCGCCCTTGCGCAGGGACCAAGCATCCAGCAAAAATGACATGACCTGCAGCAGGGAAGGCCACGGAGGGGAAAAGAGAGACATGAACCAGAAGGGCTATAAAGGGAGAGAAAACGCTTCCAAGGTTGCAATACTGATGCCTTCTACTGCTTGCTTTGGCCAACGCAACACCTACACCTGTGAGCCTCAGGAGTGCATAGCAGGTAGGTCCCATCACTGGATGGACACCTTCTGCCACCATCTCCTGAAGCCTAGGGGGAGGGAGCAGGTGACGGCAGCATGTTGTCCTGGGGTTTATAAAACTTGGAAAGCTTGGAGCAAAGTTTGCTTTTAAGAGGCAGGTGGGACTCGAGGCAGGGCACCCCACGAGAACTGGGAGGGTGCTGACAAAGATGACTGTGGCTACGGCAGGGAGTGTCAGGGATGGAGGGTGAATAGCTCGGGGGTTTCCCTTGTGCCCTAAGGTAAAGTGGCTCCTTTCCTTCTCTGGTCTCAAAACTGCTAGAGAAACATCTATTCAAAAATGGCATTAAACACACAACAGCTCCCAAGATGAGCTGGGTCCTGCCTCCTGCTGCGGGGAGGGGCGCGGAGGCAAGACCGCTCTGCTATTGAAGGCCTGGCTATTCCTCCAGCCGCCGAGCAGGTCTCCAGACCACCCATCCCCTGTTCGGATGATCTCTCCGATGCTGGTTTTCTCTGCTCCACTCCAGAAGTGGCAGAATTTCACTGCAGAGAGGGCAGAAACCCTTGGACAGGACGTCATCGGGGGAAAAGGGGGCCTGCTTCACTCAAAGCAAGAGCATCGTTTTAGGAGCACGGGGCTAGAAGGGGCTGCCTGAGCTGCTGAGTCCGGTCCCCTGCGTCTGCAGGCAGTTGTGAGCCAAAGGCATCCCCCAAAGAGCTGCCCGGGACCCTCGGTTGCAGCTACAAGGCAACTACACCGAGGAGTGCAAGATACAGGCTGGGCACAGAGAAACACCGCTCCTTCCTCCCTGGGCCAGGGGGTGCCCCCACCCTCTCGTGCCACGGGGACTCACCCATCGGAGGTGTCGCCAGCGTCTGACGGCCCACGATCTGCGCCGGCCCCAGCCCATCTAAGAAGTCGCTGAACTGGCTTTCGGCTCCCAGGCGGGTGGTGGGGAAAATGAACCTGAAATTGGGGTGAAGGGAGAACAACAGGACGTTTGGGGTGAGACGTGCCCCTGCAGGCATGGGGTTTTGGCCCCCAGGCTTTTGTATGGGGAAGCATGTCCTGCCCAAGGGTCTCAAAGCAGGGGCCCATTGATGCAGAAGGGGAAACTGAGGCACGGGAGAAGAGAAGCACCTCTCTACGGTGCGTCAGTGGCTGAGCTGCGAGTCGTGGAGCTCGCCCATCCACTGTCCAGACCCAAAAATAAATCCAGTTACTGGGCTCTGCCTTCTGGGGGCTGCTCTGAATTGTTCATAACCCTGTGGTCCTGCTGGGCTGAGCCCAAGGGCACCCGTCCTTCCTGTTTCCTTGGAGAATGGCTCAAAGCGAACCCCATCGCTCAGGGCTTGCTAATGAGGCCAGGTGAAGCCCAGGAGACTACCGCCCTAGGCATCCTCCTCATCACAGAGACCTCCTTGCTGCCTACATCAGACCAGCTGCCGCAGCCCAAGGCATGTGCCCTGGAGAGAGCTGTGGCCTTTGAGCCCACCCGGGACCATCTGCGTGTCCTTGCTCCTGCACCTGGATGCCCACCCCCAGCCCCGAGCCCGGGCCTTACGTGCCGTCGGAGCTGTTGCTGTTGGTGCTGCCATCGGTGGACTCCCGGCTGCCCTGCCGCGTCACCCTGCTCCTCATCTCCACCGCGATGCCAGTCTCTGTGCTCCTCCGGATGTTGCTGCGCAGCTTCTTGGGACCGCCATCTGCAAGGGGAACGTGGGCGACATGGGCTGAGAGATGCCCCTCTGCCCCCCTCCAAGGGATGGGAGCCCAGTATCTTCACCCGGCCCCTCTCTGCATCCTCTGGGGGTGACAGCACATGGCCAAGCCCCCTGGACAGGGAGGCTATGAGGATCCCTGCTGAGTGTGGCCTCCAATGCAAGGAGATGCCTGGCTTTTGCGGGCACGAGCCCACGTTGCTGACCAGGCCCTCGTGGGGTTCCTGTAATCCAACTCCGCTCCTCTGACCCCATGGCACTGCCAGGGTGAAGCTCACATATGCAGGAAGCCTGGCATTCCTGAGCTGTTCCCAACCTGGAACAGCCCTGCTGAGAAAGCAGAAGCCACCCCCGATACCATCCTTGCCACCCCCAATACCCTCCGCTTTGGCTCTGCTGAATACAGAAATAACACAGCCGCCTAAAAAAAACAACCCACGTGCCATTTCCCCAGGGAAGGAAAGGATGAATCAGCTGCACATGACAGATGCTAGACACCTCTCCCAGCTCCGCTGCGTCGCACTTAGGGACCACGGCAGAGGCAGCACCCCCTGCCTGAGCGTGGCAGGAAGCAGGGATGGGCACTGGTGTGGGGGAAAGGGTGTAATCAGGAGGGAGGCAAACCCTGCTGCCGTGGCAAAGCGGGCAGCTTGGCTCAGAGTTGTTTCCCCTGAGCCAAGCTCTCCCCTGAGCTAAGTCTGTCGGGGCCAGGCAAGTCCGCACCGCTGTCCTGGAGCCTGCTGGACACCAGGACCTTGAGAGCACCTCCCGCACGGCGGCACTGCCATGTTCCCAGGTGCGGGTGGGAGCATCCTTCCCTGAGCGCGCAGGGTAGAGGTCCCGGAGGAGGCAGGCTGCTGGGCTGGGTGGAGCCGACAGCCACCCCCATCCGCTGCACCCCCTTGGGCCTGATTCTAGGACTTAGGAGCCTGAAAACCCCCTCCAGCCCCTCTGCCTGCTCCCTGCCGGTGTCGCGATGGGCAAGTCCAGCCCCTGCCCTCTCACTGGTGCCATGCTCCAGCCGAAAGGCTTCAGATCTCCTGAGGGACGTGGCCTTTGCTACTGCCCTTTCCACTGCCGCAGCAGGGAGTGGAGAAAGAGCTGGCTGTGGTGGTCTGCCCTGCACAGCTGCCCCGGGGGTGCTGGGAGGCAGAGGAGAGAATCAAAGGGCTCCAAGCAGAGAGAGCATCGCAGCAGGGCCCCAGGGCCGTGTTGGCAGCGGGCTGCCCCTGGGCCTTTGATCCATTATTCACCAGGGAGCCATGCAACCTTTGCATAAAAGCCCTTCAGGCCCCTTTCATGTGCCCGCTCCCCTCTCAGCCGGGAAGGGCATCGCTGGCATGTCCCCAGCATGAGCCTTGCTGTGCTCCCCCTTGGCAGGACCCTGCTGCTCAAGATACCCCCTCGCCTCGAGCTCCAGGAAACCTCCTGCCCCTCTGACCCCAGCCTCCAGGAGTCACATCCTTGTCTGGCAATAGCAAATGAGACCCATGCACAGGAAGCCCCCGCAGCAGGTGCCCACCTGTTATACCTGCAGTAGATAGGACACCACCCTCATCCATCCGCTCTCCATCACTTATAGGAACAGAGTCCTGACAGTAAGCACACAAGCTGCAAGGAAGAGCCCCCCCCCCTTCTACGGGGTCTGCACTGAACAGAGACATCCTAAACTCAGCCCACCGGTAACCAGTCCACCCCCGCCCGGTGCCCAGCCACAGCGAGCTGCGAAGCATGCGGCGGAGGTTTTCATGCGAGCAGGCCACCTGCCGAGCCGATCGAGATCCCAAAATAAACTAGGCTATATTTAAATGCACCCAACGCAGAGCGTGGCTAGGAGCCTCCACTTTTATGGCACTGCCAACTGCGGGGGCTGGACTCCCTCTCTGCGGAGATGCAGCCTAGTGGTCCTCTCTCTCTGCTGGGATGGCCTGGATGCTTCCTCCCACACACCTGGCGTTTTGCTGGGAGCCTCCAAAGGGCCAGAATCCAGCTCAGGTGCTGAGCTGAACTCAGAAACGTTGGGGATTGGTGAACACTGAGCTGAATCTGCACCAAACACTAGGAGCTGCTGCAGGAGCAGTGAAACCCTGCCTGAAATCCGGGTTCCCCCTTTGAGATCAGCCCCGTACGCATCATGGGCAAAGCCCCGGACTTGGTGAGGCATCAAGCCCCACATCCGGCTGCTGGAAATCCCACGGAAACAGGTTTGGCTGCCCGGTGCAGCCTGAGTGATTGCAAAGCCACGGTATCCTAATGTCGGAGCACTGCACCACACTTCCCCCCTTGCAAGAGAGTGCTAGCCCTGCCACTGTGCTGCTGTGAAACAGAGGTGCTGGGGGGCTGTGACTTGCTCAGGATCCCACAGAGTCAGTGAGATGAAGCCAGGCACTGAACCCAGGTGTCCCGAGCCCCAGCCTAATGGTTTAACCAGCAGAAGAGCAAAGGAAGCAAAACACGGGGAGACCCTTGATGCAGCTCCTAGAAAAACCGACCTGGACACAGGTGCTGGGACGCAGCTTGCAAACTCCTACTGCCTCGGGGCCGGCAACTTCTTTTGCTCAACAAGCAAAGCCCCAGTCAATTTTTCATGGTTGCCAAGATAAAGGGCAAGCAAAAGATCAGATGCCGCCTGAGCTGGCCAGTTATCAGGGTGATTTTGCAAGCGGGGAGCACGCTCTGGTTGGATTCCCCAGCAGGACTATAAGCTGCTTGTTCCCTGGCTAGGAGCCTGGTTTTGAAATGATATGATTCATGTGTGCAAATATCTAGTTGGTTCAATAAAATACATCACCTCTTCCACGAGTTGGATTCCCTTTTGCCTCTAGACCCATACGGCTACAACCTGGATGCCTGATGTTATTCATGAGTAGCACCACTGCCACTGCAAGAAAGAGCCAGGGATTTCTTTTCTGCCCTGAAGGCCTGCCTGGCAGGCCAGCCAAAGGTGTGGGAAGGGGGTTGCCTCGCACAGAGTTTGTTCTTCCTTAATCCCCCCTCCTCCACCCTCCTTTCAATTTGACTCGGACTCTGTGCAGCATCTTCCCCATCAGGGTTGCCATGGCGATGCTGTCTGCAACGCGGCGGGACCCCTGCAGCCACCCCCATGGTCCCCTCCCTGCTAACGGGATCAAGGAGATGCCACGGAGACCTCCCACCCGCCGGGGTGGACAAGAGAAGGAAGGCATCAGATCAGCTGGATGAGTGCGGAAGAGGGGGAGCAACTGAGGAAAGGGTTGGGGTCAAACAGATCATTACTGGGGTCACACAGATCATTACTCAGCTCCAAAAGCCCATCAGGGTGCTTGCTTGCTCTGCTCAGCACCATCCATTCAGCTGACGTGGGTGGCTCACCAGCTCCAGTGTCACACAGACGTGGGCTGGAAGTAATGTTTTGGCAGGGCCGGGGCCTGCCTTTATGCCCCAGTTCTTCCCTGGGAGAAAGGAGCTGGTTCTTCCCCCTGGGGCTGGGTGAAGCCCTTAGCCCAGCCTGGCTTGCATTCGCTGTTGCTTTTGCAACTGCTCCCTTGATTCACATTGTTTGCCAGAGATACGGGATGCTAGGAAGAACATGCACACGCATGCGGAAATGTAAGACGCCTCTATCTGTTGTCATGGCTTGTGCATTACTAGTCCCCACCCCATGGATGGCTTGAATGCAACCAGCAAGATGTCTTGTAGCAGCACGCCTTCTGCTTCCCTGGCACCCTCTGTGTGGGTATGGGGTGCAGCTGGCATTGCCTTGAGCATGCACGCTGCATGGCCTCAGAGCCTTCCCCCTGGCGGCACGGGTTTATGAGTAAGGAGGTGGGATCATTGGGCAACCAAAAGTTGTTTAGCGCTGTATGCTGTTGGCTGTGGCTGTGACTGCTCCTCACCCCAGACAGCTGCCTCCTCTTCCCCTCCGGCCCAGCCTGGGATACTTGGCCTTCCTGCAGCTCAGGGACAGTGGTGGAGGGGGATCATAGCCTTGGCGGGAGGTAAAATGAAGCGCTATCTCTTGGGCATAGCAAATGAGCAGGAATCTTATATCCCTTCCGCTGACCTTGGCCCGTTCACCTGTGTGCCTCGGTTTCCCCACTTTTTATACCCTCTTGTCAGACAGGGATGCATCAAGAGCTAACATCAGCATTAGGCAGAGGAAGGGAGATGAGTGGAAAGAGTTTGACCCCAGCCACCCTTCCACCCAGGGAGCAGTGTCCAGCTGGCTGAGCTGTCCCGTCGCATGTGTGCTGGGAGCAAGGTCAAATAGGCCTGTGAGCTGGAAGTGGTACCCCTAGCTGGTAAAGGAGGAAACCCATGCTTCTGCCAACAGCAAGGCTGCTCAAGTGGCCAAATGAAACTGCTCCTGCAGACTTTGGCCTTAGTGCAGTAGGACTGGATGGGCAGGATATCCTCCAGGATGTCCCCTTTGAGACTGCAGGGGAATCTCCCAGTCACTGTTTGCTAGAAAGAGGGAAGTCAGAGGGCATCCAAGCCCACCCAGGCTCTGGATCTCAGCTCCAGGCCCCATGTCCTACTGGTGTCCATTGGTGTCAACGGGGGAATTTGGCCCCTGGCATCTCCAGGGAGCTTCTTTCTCTTTGATGGATTTCCTTCGAACTTCCCGGTCCGAGTTGAACTCAGAGCCAGAGGCTTCACTTTTCAGTGCAGGGCCCCTGCAGACTGAGGCAGGGAGACTGAGGCTTGGCTCAGGAGCAAGGAGGTGGAGGAGGGACCAGGCCGCAGGGGGGACAGGTGAGAGATGACTGGGGCACCCATGGCTGGGACAGAGGTGGTGTCATGCCTCAGTGCGGGAGCAAAACCCAGTGCTCCAGGAGTGCAGGACACCCTTGATCTGCCACTTGAGAGCCGTGGATTTTGGCAGTGGGGTGGGCTAGACATCCCAAAGATGGCAACCGAGGAGTGATCCAGGGCCAGGGAAAGAACCGTTCCTTCTCCCATGTGCTGACAGGAGCAGAAGCCATTGGCCACCGTCCCAAATGCTG